GGGGAAGGGGAAGGGAATGGGAATGGAAGGGAAGGGGGAGGGGGAGGGGAAGGGGAAGAGGAGAAGAAGAGGAAGGGGAGGAGGAGGAGAAGGGGAAGGGGAGGAGGAGGGGAAGGGGAAGAGGAGGAGGAGGGGAAGGGGAAGGGGAGGAAGAGGGGAAGGGGAAAGGGAGGAGGAGGGGAAGGGGAAGGGGAAGAGGAGAAGGAGGAGGAGGAGGAAGAAGAAGAATCCAGAACAAAAGTTGGATTTCTTGGTACACCAGAACATGTATGGAGGGCCCAGCAGTGGTGTGCTGGGGCTCCCTGAGGACTCACTAATGTGTGCATGCAGAGCTAGGCAGAGGCAGTGCTGAGTTAACCAGTGAGTAATGAAGGAGAATAATGTCTCAAGCATGCTACAAACTGTGATTTTTGTCCCTTTCTTTTTCTAAGAACCTTTTAAGATGGTGTAGTCTGAAAGACTGATACTTGGTCTATTACAGTAATAGTCTTGAGACTACTCTGGATATAGAACTCAGAGGAAACTGCAACAGAGGTGCTCTGAAATGTTGAATTACCTGGGCCATCTGCTCCTAGTGGAGACTTTTCAGGGGATCTTCCTTGATCAAACCTGATTTTTCTTATCCCAGAATGAATCTACAGTTTCTCATTTCTTGTGGAAACAAAAACATAACCTCTTCCCTAAAGTAACATATCTTTTGACTTAAATTTTGAAAACAAGGCATTTTCAAAATATGCAGGTTGGATTAATCCAGCAGCATTTACAATCAAATGTCATTTAGCAGCTGTTGCTGCTGCCTCAAAAATCAAAAAATTCAAAGACAACACAATTACACACAAGTTTCCAGATTCTCTGTGTATTTTCTATCTTGACATGGCTTTATTTTAAACTCTACTTCTTTTATTTTTAATTTTTGGATTTTGGAGACAGAGTTTCTCTGTGTATCTTTGACTGTCCTGGAACTTGTTCTGTAGACTAGGGTGCCCTTGAATGCATAGATATCCATCTGCCTCTGCCTCCCAAGTTCTGGGATTAAAGGTGTGTGCCATCACACCCAATCAATTTTCTAATTTCTTTCTTTTTTTTAAGGACTTTATCCTTTTTCTTTTCTCTCCCAAGCCTATGAATATTTTGAAGACATTCTAAAGCATTTAGAGGTTTTTTTTTCTCTGAATCTGTCTTTACTGTATATACTTGTTCTGACCACATCAGTCTTTAATTTATGAAGTGATATTACTGGGATTAAAGCTGTGGCTTTGGCAGCTGAATCTGCCCCACTCCTTGACTTCCTGAGAGTCTAGCTTCATGGTGGAGGTACTGATGGGAGCCTTGTTTTATTTATCATAACTCAGTGGAGTTGCAATGTCCATGCCACCATCAAGAAGCATACCAGTGGCTGCTCATAAACACCATTTAAGTGTTTGGTGGCAGGGCCTCTTAAAAGAGCTATGAGGTTTTTGTTGCTAACACTGACTCGGGAGGCATCTTTTAAAGGAGTCACGCCTCTGCTCACCTCTAGCAAACAGAGCCTACCAGATCCTCTTCCCAGAATTCTCCTAGTTTTGTTACCTTGCCTATACTTGCTACCTGGATACTGGCCAATCAGTGTTTTATTAAACCAATAAGAGAGACAAATATTTAAAGGGTAAAAGAGCATTATCCCACAGGAAAGGATGCTTGGGATTCTGCTAGGGATGAAGGAGGTACCTTCATCCCTAGCAGAATCCCAAGCAGAATCCCAAATGGTGATCATTTGTTTTAATTCGAAGTTGGTGACTTATATTTTAGATGGTAACAGGTAAACTTGGACAAAGCAAATGACATAGTTAGAAATTAATATTGCCAGACTCTTGTACATGTTGGAGGAAAACCCTTTCTTTTACCAATTTAAGTCTAACTGGACAGCTGATGTAATTTCTAAAACCTGGATCTGTCTCATTTATGCTTTGGCTTGAAATATTAAGAGGGAGTTGACCCCAACTAAGCTCTGAGAGGAATTAGTGTGGCTCCCCAACTATCTTTAAGGGCAGTTTCTCTATACTGTTGGGTGTTTTGATGCTGTACCCCTTATTGGCTGGTCTTCCTTCTGTTTATCTGTTCATCACTTCCTGGTCAGTGCTTTGTGATAAAAGACCTATACTCAAAATTGTGTTTGTGGAATGCTTCTGAAACAATATGCTATGTGTATGGATACACAATAAGTAATTTTTGAATGAGTGGATTGTTGGACAGATAGATGAAGAGATTATACACTGGAATTCAATGTGGAATCGTGTGTAATATATTACACTGTTGATAGCAAAATAAAAGACCTTTGTGCTCATTCTTTTTGGGCTGCTTGGCTCACAAAAATCACATAAGACTGAATAAAGTTGTATTTGTGTTCATGTATACATATTAATATATTTGTGACTCTATATATGTGTGCCAATGTATATGAATAGAGACACAAATATATTAAACTAATATATATACATATAATATACAGACATGCTTTTATTTTCTATAATAGAAGATTTTTAAAAACTAAGATTTTCTTTAGTCTTGCTGTCCAATTCTTGATGATTTTATGAATGCATATTTTAGGTTCAATTTTTATATTTACTTTGCTATTTTTGTATTTATTTTAAATATTAAAATGTCCTATGCAAACTCATAAATGAAATTCCGTATGATCCTTACAGCATTTGGGTGAAACTGGCAATAACAAATCTAAACAATCACCTTTTAGAAACGTACATGTGTTTGAGAAACCGGCTGTAAGCGAAATCAGGTGGCAAGACTTAAAGCCACTAAAGCAGTGAGAAAACTGGAAGCTGTGGCCAGCTAGGGTAGTGTCATTGAGTTATGTGTGGGGCATACACTTAGACATTAGTTCTGTGTTCCTAGGAAAGTTCACAGAAACTTTTAGGACCTGCCTGCAGCAACTTAAACAGAGGTCACTCCGTACTTTTGGCTGGCTCTGAGTAGAGTTAACTAAGCCTGTCTTAAAATGCTCTGAGATTTCGAGTAGGGAAAACTAAGTCAGAATGTCAGCTTCTCAAAGAAAGAAACACCAGGGTTGGATAATCTTTTGCATCCTTAACTTGTGCTGGTGTGTCACTTGTAAATGCTATTGCAGGAATTAAAAGCCTGAGTGACTTGCCTAACCTGTAGCCGTTATTAGACTTACTCTACATGAAGACTGCACTGAACTAGTAAATACATCATCACCTAGAAACTGAGACTGCTCATTTGTTTCCTGGCCACACAAACTTAAATAATCACACAGAAACTATATTAATTATACCAATGTTTGACTAATAGCTCAGGCATATTTTTAGCTAGCTCTTACAGCTTAAATTTACCCATTTCTCTTAATCTATGTTTCATCATGAGACTATGCCCTACTAGTAAGTTTCTTGTATCTGTCTTCTTTGGCAGCTACATTGCATCTGCCTGACTCCACCATCCTTCTGCCTCCATTCAGTTTAGTTTTCCTACCTAGGTCTATTCTGCCCTGCCATAGGCCAAAGCAGCTTCCTTTTCAACCAATGGTAATAAAACATATTCACAACATACAGAGGGAAATCCCACATCAGTCACCAAAAGCATTCTTAAAAATCACAAAAGATTCTAAATATTATTGGTACTCTATGTGGGTTATCAGTGTATATGTAAATAGAAAGTGTACCTATGAATCTGAATTAACCTTCCTTAAGGCAATTGTCCTGTAATGGGGTGGTGTAACATTTGTTCTTCATTAACAGTTTGACACACCTGGGAAAATGGAACCTTGAGTTGGGGAATCGCCTCCATCACATTGATTGTTAATTGGTGGAGGAGGGTGGAGCTCATTGGAGGAGGCTGGTGATTCTGTGCAGAGGCGCAGACTGAATGGAAGCAGGAAGTGGGCCAGGTTCCAGCCTTGGGTTCTTGCTCTGGCTTCCCTCAGTGATGGACTGTAATCTTTAAGCCAAATAAACCCTTTCCTTCTCAAGTTGCTTTAGGCCAGTATTTTTACCACAGAATCAGGAAACAAACTCAGATAGGGAGATTAAAACTTATTTGTGTTTAAACATGCATCATATTACATATGAAATCAAATTAAACATACAGATGGAAAATTGATTTCCAGGAAAGACTAAAGTTCTTTAATGAATTGGCTTGCTTTTTCTTCATGGGTTTTGAGAATCCCGACCTTCTCTTTCTTTCTAAATTTTGGTTCTACAAGAGTTCAGAACTTAATGTGCAACTCAATTATCTTAATCAATGGGAATATAACAACTTGAATATTTCTAAAAGTTTTTTGATCTTCAAGATCTATTCCAGTTTTCTTTCTTCCTGGCCCCAGATATTGTAGACTATCTGTACCTTAATTGACACATGGTAATTGTACACTTTCATGGAGCCTGAACTCCTCCAAACATTGCCTGTGCTTTCGCCTGTTACTTTCTGTATGTATTTTTCAATGCCATTCCAAATGTGTTGTGGAAAAGGGATGAATTCGCACCCATGCTTTTTACAGAAACCCTGCTCACTTCTTGTGTAACTTCACATTTCTCTCTTTGTGAAGGCCAAATGTCTGCGAGGAGGAGCAGCTGGTGGTGGTAAGACTGTCACGCCCGTGCTCCCAAGCTTTCGTAGGCACCGTCAAGTTCTGGAAACAAGGCTGCACAGGCCCACGGTGGTGTGTGGCCTATGAAAGGAGGTAAGGTGTTGTCCTTACTCCTGTAAATACTGAAACTCAAAACGAGAAGCTTCACCTATTCCTAAATGCCTTTTCCTATGAACTGTAGTAAATGGTTGGGTAACTAAGTAGAGGGGCAAAGGTAGACTTACCAAGAACATTCACACTTACATAGCTTCCTTCAGCGATGGGATGGACACTTATGTTAGACCTTGCTTATGTGTGAACTATTTTTGGCTATAGACACTAATTTTACTTCAGGATATGAAAATATCATTGAAAGCTAAAGATCAGAAACACGGCAGAAACAAGGAATATTGTGTTGGTTTGCTAAATTTAGCTCAACTTGATCCAGGCTTTTTACAGCTGGGAAGCAGCATCTGACCTGCCCTTGTCACTCTGGAGCACTTTGAAACCCACAGACTCTTTAACTTTCTCATGGCCTTTGAATTAGGATCAACCCAGCAGGCTGTAAGAAGAGAGAAAAGCAAGTGTCCACAATGCTTTCTAAGAGTCCAGGCTTCATGTAGACATTTTTTTTAAGTTTTGAAATAGTTTCACAAAACATCTAAGAGCCTCTTGGTAGTGTTTGCTATTGGGTTGGATTTTATGAAAATGGTTCAAACAAATCTAAATTTATGATAAATCTTAATAATAAATTATGGTTTAGGTTAATGAATTTATTAATATTATTATCAGCACTGAAATGTTAGGGTGTTCATAAGTAACTCACCTTGCCATTGTACAACTATGGTGACAGTTACAATACAAGACTAAATAATTTATAACTGTAAATATGGGTACCTATTATATTGTGTACATATACATACAGGTGCATATTTATCCTTTAGATGAGCATACTTTGGGGTGCTGTTTTAAGTTGAGAATACATAAATGCCAGTTAAGTCAGAAAAGTTTTCCAAATTATTACTTGTTTGATGGCTTTAAGTTAAATTCAGTATTTCTCTGTGTTTTAGTGTGCAAAGCTTGAAAATAATGGTATGCACGGATAGCATGACTGGTACTGAAAACAGAGTTTACACGTGTGGCATAACTCAACATGCGTGTGAATACAGACTAGTAGCAGGGAATTTATCACAAAACATAGGCAGGACACATGCTTCTAGTATATGCAATTTATTGATTAGATGAATGTGTATGTCTATGTAGACATGCTTGTAGTATATATGATTTATTGGTTAGATGAATATGTGTATCTATGTATACATGCTTGTAGAACATAAGATTTATTGATTAAAGGAGTGCGTGTGTGCATCGAGTGTGTGTATGTGTGTGTAGACACAATTTATTAATTAGAAGTGTGTGTGTGTAGACATGCTTGCATATATATGATTTCTTAATTAGAGGAGTATGTGTGTGTGTAGACATACCTGTAGTATATATGATTTATTGATTAGAGGAATGTGTGTGTGTGTGTTGTTGCTTCTTGCCTTCCATGTTGTTTGAGACAAGTCTCTCATGTTCACTACTGACTCAGGTGGCCAGTGATGCTCTGGGAGATCTCCTGTGTATGCCTCCCATTAACTCCCTGGGAGGCTGTCATTATAGACATCTGTATTACTGAATCCAATCTTCCTGCGTATTCTAGGGATTGGCCTGGGGTCACTGGGTTGGAGGGGAAGCCCTTCATCAATTAAGGCATTTCTCCAGTCTTGGAAATCATTTTTGAAAGTGGTTTTTTCATTTTTCTGGGTTGTCCTAATGTGGTTTAATTGTTGTAGATAGTGATTTGACCGAAAGAAAATCCTCAGCTGTGTAGATGCTTAGAAGTGGGAGAAACAAACATGACTACATGTCATAGGCTTCACATGTTTATCCTCAACCATGAAGTTGAGGAAAGAACAAACATGACTAAGTGTCACAGACTTCACATGCTTATCCTCAGCCGTGTACATGCGGGAAGAACAAACATGACTAAGTGTCACAGGCTTCACATGTTTATCCTCAAGAGCTCTCTAGTTTAACAGCTCTGTTTGGGGCACTGATTTGGAGGGGTAGCAATGTAAAAAAAGTAATTGATGTCTTGCCAAACATACCCTTTTTGTTTGTATATACATCTAGTCATATCCTGATTGGAAAGATATACACAGAAGTTCTCAGTTGTATTTCAAGATGTTGAATAATTAAATGTGATAAACAATGCTGAAGCCAATACACTCTCTAGTAATAAAGAGGTTGACATAGAGAGGAGAGAATCTGCAGAAGTGGAAATAGAAGTTGGCCTTGAATAATGAAGGATTTAGGCTAGGACATGGTACAAAGAATGAGCTAGAATGTCAGGGATAAAGCATGTACAGGAATTTGGTTTGATAGAAAGGAAATCAGCATGCTTTGAGATGGTTGATACAGCAGTCAGCTGACAGGTCAACCCTGTGGTAGGCTCTGGTCCTTCCTCACCGAGAGGCCTTTGACATCATCTTTTACAGTACTTGCCTCATTCCAACAAAACTTTTGACATTACATTTATACTTTAAAGACTTTTGTCTTATACACTTAAGTGTGTGTGTGTGTGTGTGTGTGTGTGTGTGTGTGTGCACGTGCGTGCATCTGAAAGCAGTGTCTGCAGAGGTCAGAAGAGAGTGTCAGGTCCCCTGGAGCTGGAGTTACAGGCAGTTATAAGCTGCTGGAAATCCTCTGCAAGAACTCCAAGCTGTCTCTTCATCTCTCTTATATACTTCTTAATCTTCCTCAACCCATACCTAAAACATATGCTGATTGCTTATGTGATGTAGTATTTGTATGCTATATACAAAGTGTATCCATAACTAGCCATCCCGTCTTTTATCTATCTTCCAGTATGTGGCAGGATTTGAACCAAAGGGAGAAATTCTTATAACCGTTAAATGATGATTTTGCCATCAAAGGCATGATACATTTCCTGATTACTATCCTGTGCTTCCTAGGACCCGCTACTACACCGTCTACAGGCAGGTGTACACCACAGAACACCAGACGGTCTTCAGATGCTGCCCTGGTTGGAGCCGATGGGATGATGAGCCAGGTTGCCTCTCCTGTAAGTTGTAATCCTTCCTGCCAGCTTCTGCAAAAGGGAATGCTTTTGCCTCCTCCACAGGATGCCTACCGTGCTTTCGCATTTTAAGAAGCAACGCAGATTCAGAGCATTGCTTGAAACCAGAGGTCCTCAGTCTTCCTAATGCTGTGGTCCTTTATAACGTTCCTCATGTTGTAATGACCCCAATCATAAAATTACCTTTGTTACTACTTCATAACTGTAACTTTGCTGCTGTTATAAATTGTAATGTAGTATCTGTGTTTTCTGGAGATCTTAGGTGATCCCTGTGAAGGCTTGCAACCTACAGGTTGAGAGCCACTGCTCTAGACTAAGGACGCATGTGTGACGTGTGGGGAAATGCATATAAAAAGCCTTTCCATGAACCATTTTCATGATGGGTAGCAGCTCAGGCCCAATGAAAGCCCCTGTATATTCTGTTTACTTAGAGAACAGACGATGTAAAGGCAGGAAGGCTTCCTTGATGTCCATCCCACTTCTCTGTCCTCCTCTTTCCTATATCATCAGATTTGTAATCCACAGTTGATTTAAAAGTCCAGAGGGAAATCACTGTACTGAATCTAGATGGGATTTTTCAACATGGGCTTGTAATGATTAATTGCAGAGCTCTGGAGACAGCTTGCGATTGAAGATGAGGTCTGCACTCTGCTTCCAAGTCTCAGGTGATGGGATTTCAGAAGCCTCGGAGTCTGGTGTTTGACAGCACTCAGGCCGAGAACTAGTGGCATTCCACAGCTCTCCGGGCTGTGAGAAATGGCTCCCTTTAGTGAGCCCTTTTCCTGCATCATGTGCCTATGGCAATTGGGAAGTCCCTTAGATGGCTTCTGTGCATCTAATCAATGCAGCATCATAGCACAGCTCATCTCTCCTGCCTCTGTGCACCCTATGGAGTTTGCCAGCATCCTGTCTCCTTCTGCTGTGGGCTTTCTGCTCTTGAAATACATTGGAGAAGTTTTGTTGTGTGCTTCCTATATTAAGCAGGTATAATGTCAAGTGTTGTGGCAAGAGTGTGCCACAACTCAGGTCACTGTGGCTGGTTGGTTTAAGATCATAGAAAAGATCTTTCCACAATACCACTAGAACTGTGTTATCAAGGTCAGAAAACTGACAGCTCTGAGATAAAGTATTCATATTTATTATTTAACAGCTGCCCGAGTTCTTTGCCTCTGGTTAAATATTAGCATTTTGTTTGATTGTTGTTGTTGTTTTAAAGATCGTTTTGACCACACAGTCACCTTATCCACGTAGTTTCTTTCTACTGATACTTCTTCCGTTTTGATGTGAACACAATTGATCTGGTGTCTTGTTAAAGGGTAAATTTGTACTAAGTACGTCTAGAGGGGTTCTCAGAATCTGTGTTTTTGCGAAGTGTACAGGAGTGTTCCTACAGAAAATTCTGCAAGACTTCTAACAGTCAGCCCTTGTCTAGTAATAGTATTTTTTTCTCTATAACACTCCTGTGTGTGGGGCTATGGAAATTTCTAGATCATGTTATATTAACTGTAAGATGCCCACTTATACTGATGATTTCCTTTCTTTCTCTCGACCCTACCTATTCTTCCTCTGAACACTCCTTTTAGCTGTGGCTTCTCTGGGAACCCATTTCAGTGGAAGGCAATGCTCGGACGGGAATGATCAACGGTGTCTCTGCTCACAAGGGTTTCAGGGACCCCACTGTCAATATGGTAAGTCACCAGCAGAACCATTCTGTCACAATTTGGCCCTGTTTGCTGTTGTGTCCTGGTAGTCTCATGGTGGATTACCTTTCTGGAAATTGGTAAACACTGGATATGAGTCATTAAGCAGAAATCCAGAACAACAGTGTAATAAGCATCTTAAAATATGCTTGTAGCTGAGTTGTAAATTGTTGCTATAGGGTCTTGTAAGAACAAGATGTTCTACTCTGTAAAGAAAGGGTCAGATGTTAAGTTTCTCATGGAGGATGGCTTGAAATTACTGCTACGGTATGATATTCTGTGAGATCTATAAATGAGCAAAATACAATCAGCATGAACTTGACTGATCCTATACCTGTTACCTTAAAAAAAAATCACAAAATCTGAAACTCATAAGACTTGAGTGACTCTCAAGGCTTCAGCCCTCACTGGACATGTACGTGTAAGATTTTCTTGTGTGGAAAGTTTTCAGAATGACCAATGATTTAACCTTTCCTGCAGAATGAAACCTCACTTAAAGCAGACGGTAGGTGTGCTTTCTTGGGTCTACTGCTCGGATTTCTGAAGGGAAAACCACGAAGATTCTGAGGTCCACCACTTGCGCTCTTTCTCCTCCACACTTGGGATTAAGAGCAGTGTGCCCATCACCCGTGGGCCACTTCAGAGATGTTCCTGTAAATGAATTCCCAAACTCTGTTCTGGGTTGCCTTTCGAGAAATAAATGAATTAAGACAAAGCCGATAATGAGTGATCTTACACTTAGAGACAGGGATCCATGGAGGCTCTGAGCACCTCATTTATCTTTACTATTTCTAATGCTTTTGAAACAACAGCAACAACAATAACAAAGCCACACATGGATCCATGGACACAAATTATTTGACTTTGAATAAAATAGAAGATACTAAAGGCTTCCTTATTTTGGCTCAAAATTGTGATGGGGAATTACAGATGTTATTGGTTCATCAAGAGGTTTTCTTTAAAAACCATAATTATTTATTTATGAATGTATTGTTTTGTGGATCAAATATTACAGGACATCAGACTGCAGAGGACAAAGGTAATAAAAGAGACATATGGTAAAGATAGTAGCTCATTTATACTTGGATTAATTTATTCTTTATCTTTTACACCGGTACTTGAATAATTTGATTATTCCAACTTACCAACTTCCATACACCAAAATAATTAATGTGCTCTCTGAAATTCAAGTGTCAAAATTTTCATTTTTGTAGTAGAAAGATTGTCTTTTGCACAAGCTTGTCTTGTTACCGTGAAGTCTCCAGAGCCACAGGATAGCACCAGCATACACAATACCCATCAGGACTCCCTGCTGCCCCTGCTAGCACTGCTGTTCAGACATGCTTCCCTTAGACTCTAACACTGTTTCCTCTCCCATGATAGGACTCTTGTTGAATTTAAAAAAGAATTGACAACCCTAAGGGGTTTATTCGCAAAGAGTAGGTGTTTAGACTTCTCCTTGGGACTGTATTTCCCCCATCAAAATGAGGCAACCCTTACTATATAAACTAGGTGGTATTAATGGAGAAATTTACTTTCTAGGAAATCAAGCAGTAGAGGAGGAGAACCCAATGAAGAGGAAATTACACTAGCTAAATTCTAAAGGGTGAGACGATCAGATTGTGAAAGCTGTTTGTTAAGTGTAGCTCATAGGACAAAGCCTACTAAGCAGGCTGGTTCTAGCCTGGAGAGGGAGGCCGCTAACCTAGTTCTTATGTATGGTATAATCCCCTCATCTATATGCACATATATCAGTAAAATAAATTTAATGCTATGTTTGAAATTGTATATCAAAATCACTCAAATGATAAAACATTAACAAATTCTAATTATAAAATCCCAGTCTATGTGATACAGCAAACTAAAACTATACAGAACTGCTTCTGCCTGCAGATAACCACGATGGGCATCCCATAATATTTGTTTATGTTCACACAGGTGTGCAAAGTGTGTACACATGAGGTCATATTATACACAGATTATTTTAATGAACGTCCTTCTGTTTTATCCCATCTAATGTGTTCTCCCTTCGTTGCCTGCTATTGAAACCTTTTTATGTCTTTCCCTAAACTTACTGAATCACACACAGCTATATGGTAGTCTATTACATCAGTGGAGCACACATTTTTAAATCATTATTGAGCTGGGTGGTGGAGGTGCACACCTTTAATCCCAGCATTCAGGAGGCAGAGGCAGGTGGATCTCTGTGAGTTCAAGGCTAGCCTGGTCTCCAAGAGCTAGTTCTGGAATAGGTTCCAAAGTTACAGAGAAATCCTGCCTCAAAAAAGCAAAGCAAAGCAAAACAAAAACAAAAACAAAAAACTAACTATTGAGTGATAATGATAAACATTTATTCCAAATTTTGTTCTAGTTTTTGGCACAATAATTAGGCTTGTGATGATGTTGTGCTTTAGATTTTGTGAAGAACATCCCAGCTGTGGGGTTGTTGGGAATCAATGAATATGTGCAGTTAAAATGTTAATAAACTTAAGGATCAATGTGTGTGTGTGTGTGTGCGCGTGTGCGTTTGCACGCACATGTGCGCGTGTGCCTGGGTGCGTGCTGCAGGTGGTTGTGAAATGAAATTGAAGTAGGTCTTATTTGTTTATTTTTGATGTTTTCTTTTAATGGAATCCTCACATCTTCCTTCAGAGCCAAAGATGTGATGTTTGTCTCAGATCGTCAGGGTCACTGTAAATGAGTTTGTCACCTGGAGTAAAGTTGGTGCTACCAATGTGTGTGGGAAGAGAGAACATGGAAATAAGCCATTTGGCCTTCTTAAGATGGAGGAAAGACTGTAGTCCTAGCAAGAGCGGGGCCGTGCTAATAAGTGAGATCAGCACTTGACATTAATAATGATTCTAAAATTGCTGATGTACCTAACTCATTTGAAAAAAACTGTCTCTCATAAGGTGAATGAAAAAAATGAATTTTGACAATTAGGAAGTAATGAAAGCTTTCTGAAATAACTATTGATTAAAGAAATCAAAAGGAATACTTTGAAGATTTGAACACATGCAAATCAAACTAGATAGCTGGTCGTGAAGTTTCCTCTTTTCTGAAATATTATGGCTTCAGAGAGAGCTGGGAGTTACAAGTACTGATTAATTTTACACACAAAGTCACACCTCAGTCCCACATTACTACCTCTCTTCCTTTCCTCTGGGTCAGAAGTCAAGCAAAATGTCACTGTGGCTAATGGTAGGTTTCTATGCTTTTTATTTGCTAGGCATGTGTTTGCTTATTCACTCTGTCAGTCAATCAGCCTTCCATCAAGTCTCCCACTTAGTAAATATTTATATAACAGACTGTGTACTAATACCTCAGATGTGAAAACAAATGGTTTCACTTTAATCTGGTGGGAAATAGAGACCAGAAATTCTATGATTATCATGCAACTCACCATTGTCATGATGGGGAATCTGAGCAAATCTCAGAGGAGTCACAGCAGACCAGGAGGCAGGTCCCAGCCAAGGAACTGTATTGACTGTGTATAATAGAAAGATAGACTAAGGGGTTTTCTTCAGTTGAAATTCTCTTAAGAACACTATTTATTTGAGCAATACTATATAGTTTGAATTATGTTCCCTGTTGTCACATTTTTTATATTAAAGTCCTAAATCCAATTACTTTACAATGTGATCTTATTTTGATATAGGCTTGCTACAGATATAATAAGCAAAATGAGTTTATATCAAATATAGTATGACTAATACCCTTATAAAAAGGAAACATTTGAATATAGATGCATGCACACAGGGAGACCATCATAAGAAAATGAAGACCAATCAAAACAATCATTATATAAGCCAAGAAATATCAAACATTTCCGAAAATGTCCAGAAGTGAGGTGAGAGGTAACAGACAGACTTACCTTCATAACCCTTAGGAGGCAATATGTGCATCTCCCAGTTCTAACCCCAATGCTTGAGTCAGTCATATGCCACGTGTGGAAAATACATTTTTATTTAATCCTCATGCTCTCTACATATGGCATTATTTTCCTAATTTTACAAAGTAAAGCCTGGAGAAATAATTTTTTCTCTTAAGCAACTCACTTTGTAGTATTTCATTGCAGTAGTATTGCAAAGCAGCATGGGAAATTCAGCATGCATTTCCCTTTCATCTTCTGCTTCAGTTCAGTAGTTGACCTGCTGTAGCTGTGGAAATGGGGAAAGTGGCGGTGGTGGGGGTGTTACAAAGAGCAAATCTTGCTAAGGGAAGGGGGGACTTATTTTAATTGAATTCTAAAATCAGTCTGGGAAGGTAATTTTGGAAACGAATGGAAAAATCATTAATTGAAGACACTTGAAAATGCCACACCTAAGTGAACATTATAGCAGACGTTACAAAATGAAGTAATGACAGGTTATATCATGGAGATAAATTGAGATACAATCCTAACATTAGCCAACAGCTTACACTAGTCAAAATCTGTGCTTATTGTGTTTGTCACGTAAAAGATGTCTTGTAGTAGAGCCCTAAGCTCTCAGCAAGGGGTGAACTTATCTGTACTGAAGTCACCAGATTCTTCATTCCATAATGAGACAAAGGCCGGGGCAACCCTGGCAGCTATGGGAACGCATGCTATTGGAACTTGTTAAACTGTTTCTGGGGATAGTAAACTAAGATTTGATGTTCCTCCCTGTGTTAAGGAAAAGAATAACCTGCTGTTGGATATCAAAGCTTTGGAAGAACGTTGCTGATGCATGCTTGTAGGTGTGCATTCCATAGCCATTGTTACCCATCGTAAGCCATAGTTGAAAAGAGGCTGCATTGTATTTACTTGATATTTGCAAATATGACAGTCTCAGAGGAGAATGCACAGCACCATCCAGGGCTGTTTGATTCCACGGGGTGTAATTACTGGTGAAGTAGAACATGGTGAAAGCTGTTAATAATGACAATGATGGGTAACCCAGAAGCCATGCTTTTTATGAGCTGTACTCCATGCTTTATACATCCGTGTTTGTTGAAAATGCTCGCAA